GAAGCCGCCCAGAAAATGTTATTTTCGGCTTGAAAATGTACAGTCGCTAGTGGGTTAAATCAGATTAATAAATAGAGTTCCTTCACTTGCAAATTTGGATCATCCTTAGGTAGATGGCTAATACGGTACTTCTATAAACCCAAGCTTTAAAAACAAATACCTGAGAGCGATTGCCAGCTGTGATATTTGAGATGGTCCAGCATGCTTCTTTTCGGATGGATTCCTTGGGGGAGGCTAGCAGGTGTAGCAGACATGGCAAGGCAGAACAGTTAAGGATTACCTGACGAGAAAAATTTGTCTATTAATAACTAGATGTACCCTTGATATTTCCATACATGTACATCTGTGCATCTGCTGTAGTATGCGCATGTCTGTATTGTGCAATAAAATTCTTTGGTGTTCTGTGCCTGTGCTGTGTGTCCATGTGCGCTGTACTACTATTTGTATTGTGCTTGCCTGTATTGTGTATATGTTTAAGTATTTCACTTTATATCAGTTTCTGAACATATGAATTATGTGTTTCTATTGAATATCTCGTGTGTAATGTAGTGTATTGTCTGTAGTGTGTGTGTAGAGTGTGTGTGTAGAGCGCGTATGTAGAGCATGTGCATAGAGCACATGTAGAGAGCGCATGTGTAGAGCGCTTGTGTAGCACATGTGTAGACGTGTGTGTAGTGTGCATGTATAGTGTTCGTGTGTAGTGCGCATGTATAGTGTTCGTGTGTAGTGCGCGTGAGTAGTGCGCATGTGTAGGGTGCGTGTGTAGTTAGCATGCCTGTGTGTGTGTGTGTGTGTGTGTGTGTGTGTGTGCTTGTGTGTGTGTGTGCTTGTGTGTGTGTTTATGTGTGTTGTCAAAGGGAATCAAAAATAATTATTCCATAGTTCCACAGACAAACAAGTTGACATCTCATCGGGTATCTTCCACATCATGGGGATGGTAGTAAGTAATTCTATAAATCGTTTTATAATATTGGAGTATATATTTCATGTGATTGTCATAATCATAACATGGTTATATATTTGTTAATGATACTTACATATATTGTTATTAATATGTATAGATATTATCTATTTATTAACCCCTAGCCGACGATTGGCATGTACGCACATGCCATGGCTGTTGTGGACCGAAAGACAGGTGGCATCATGTCATGCCCATTCCTGCGCCACTGCCTCATCGGAGTTTGTTTTTCTCCAATAGTAGCTGCTTCATTTAAATGGTATAGATTTTAGGCAATGGCACCTATAATAAAGGTAAACCTTCAAAATTTTAATATTTTTATGAATTATAGCAAAATAAAAGCTTTTAGGTGCTAGATGTCGCTCGCAAACTACCGATCGACCCCGGCGCAAACAGGGAAAACTGCCGATGCGCGCCAACAAGCCCGTCCGTACATCCACTTGCCACACATTCTTACCCGTCGGCACTGGGTTAAGGAAAGATCAACATTACTCATTTATATAAGGCCAAGCAAGTAGCCAGTTGCCCTCGCACTCACTCAGTAATTGCCTTGTGGATCTGTGCCAGTGTAAATATTTATCTAAAGCATTATTACATTATTAACCCATTGCCGCCGGGTGGCACGTACGTACATGACATGGCTGTTGTGGACCAAGCGCTGGGGGCATCATGTCATGCCCATTCCCGCGCTACTGGCTCGTCGGACGGAGGTTGTTTTTCTCCGGTAGTAGTAGCTTCATTTATATGGTAAAAGATATTAGGCAATGGCACCTAAAGTGAAGGTAAAACTTCAAAATTTTAATATTTTTATAAATTTTAGCAAAAATAAAAGCTTTTAGGTGCTATATGTCGCTCGCAAACTACCGATCGAGCCGGGCGCAAACAGGGGAAACTGCCGGTGCACGCCAACAAGCCTGTGCATATGTAAACTTGCCAAAATTTTTACCCGTCGGTGATGGGTTAAAGTGGTGGGAAATAACTGTTTCGTTATCCATTCCACCACGAGTGTTTATTCCAAGAGTCTTTGATATATTCTAGAACTAAAAAGAAGTCTAAAGTATAGACAGAAGGAAAGTATCACTAACGTGTTCAAAGTCCTATCAAGAAGTAACTGCTCCACCTTAATTAATTAAGTAATTACGAAGTTACAAGGAAATAGTGGAGTGGTGACAAATGGTGGCAGCGATGGGATTTGTAGTTGGGCATCAATCAATCGCTTCAGCACTGATTCCAGTCCTTGTAGGTGATCTTGAAGCGATTTATGTAAACGGCCACATCATCCAATCCGTCATCCAATAGTCCTGCTAGGACTCTAATCATCATACTCTGGAACATAGCTGGTGCTCCAGAGAGTCCAAATGGCATCATGAGCCATGGCCTTGATGTGTCACGCAGGTTGTTTTCTCTATGCTGCCCTCTTCTATGGGTACTTGATGATAACCAGATCGAAGGTCAAGTATTGAGAAAACGTGTGCACCCACGCATTCATACACAATTTCCTCAATACGGGGCAAAGGGAAATAGTTAAACTTGTTGGCTTTATTAAGCTGCCTATAGTCAATGCAGGGTCTCGGTCTCGTATCCTTGTGCCTGACAAGAATGATTGGGCATTTCATGGACTTGTAGAAAATCTGATCTGCCCTTACTTGAGCAATCCATCGATCTCCTCTACACTTGTGCGTGTATGTATGTATGCATGTATGCATGTCTGTATGTATGTAT